AGTATTGGTTCAACTTTCTTATTAAAATAGTCATCAATTACCTATCAGCCTGTACAGAACGTGAAAAGTGATACATAAGTGCAAGATTTTAATGAAGGGACAAAGCTCAAAGCTGGCTCCTTACATGATTACTTAATGTGTCCTACGTTGTCTGGTATGTTATTTTGTCCATTGGACATATTATTTCTCATTTAACAGGTCATTACAGCTTTAGTGTAATTGCGGGAATAAAAGCACATAAAATACAAGAATTTCAAAATAAATTTTACAGCTCACATATATGCAACAACTTACTGCATTTAAAAATTACTACAGTGCAAATTAGCATAAACAGGCACACAAGCCATGGGGAGCTTGCACTGCGATAGCAGCTGGATTTGACATGCAGAACTCCCTGTCCTACACAGCCCTCACCACTGTGGCCATTCATTGCTCCTTCCCATGTGTGAGTACTGATAAACAGCAGCAAAGATCAGGCTCAGGCACTGCAAGCTTTGGCAACAGATGATTTCTGTTCACATTGCTGGCTGATAGCTCCAGAGCCCAAATTCTACCGAAGAAAAGCCAGACTCAAGATGCCAGCTAATGGCCTGGGCTGTGCTTTGTGCTCCCTGCTCACGTATTTCCAGCTGATCCAGATACCATGCTTGAGCTTGAGCTCGCTATTGGATTGAGCATGGTCAAGGTACCTTCCCTCCTGGGAAGCTCTATCAGGTACCAGCAAAACAGAGCACCCTGGCTGAACTGTGTAGACAGCATCTCGGATAACAGGGGACCAAAATGTCATGTTGGCGACCAGGTGGCAATCATCGTAGGAGGGCGTATGAGCAGGACTATGGACTGGTTTACACCTGAGTTAAGACCTTCCACCACCTAGCACTGGCAAGGCTCGGCCTGGAGTACTGTCCAGGTTGGGATGATGCACTTCAAATACAGCAAATGAAATACGACAAATATGACTTGGAAAGAACCCAGAAAAAGGCAGCCAGAATAATCCGACGTCAGACAAACACAAGCTATGAGAAAAGACTGAATGGACTGAGACTGTTAAACCTAAGGAGAGACAGTAGCCTGAGAGGGGACAGTAGCAGCCAAACATCTTAGAAGCTACTGCAGTGAAACAGGCAATGACCGTCTACACGGATGAACAGGAGAAGTAACGGGACCAAACATCTGCAAGAAAAACTGGAAAGAGATGTTATGAGAAACCTTTTAAGGACAGGCAAAAATTACCTAGAGGCACTGGAGAATCTCCATCACTAAAGCACAGGAAAAGCAGATATCTTACAGGAATGATACAGCTAGAGTTGATCATGCATTGGGAAAGGGAGTAGCAGATCTCTCAAAGCCTCTCCTGGCCTATCTTCTCTGTCTTTAGGTAGTGACCTACTACGCTGCACTTCCAGCTCGTGCTTTATAGAGTTCCAGGTGTAGCTAAAACTACAAGAAGGACTGGATGACAGTTTAACTCTGCATTGATTTTCCTGCGAAACAGTGAGTTTATACAAAAGGCCAGATTCTCAGACTACATAATTTGATTTAACTTCACTACCTTGAAAATGGATTAATTCAATGAAATTTGGCTAAATTACACCAGATGGGAATCTCACTCCGAATCTATGCCACCGATCATATTTCATCCTCCTCTTTCAACTGACAAGGAACATCAGTCTTAGGTCAGAGCCTTATCTTAGGTCAGACTCTTAATTCTCATGCACTTAAGCTTCCATCTTGAAACAACAGAACTCAGAAACTTCTGTTTGCCATCATGAAAATTCTTAAAAACAAATGGTCTCCATTTCTGTGGCCTCCAATACCAGGACACATACTTGTCAGTAATTTTGCCCATCCTATCAGTTTCATCTTTGAAATATTTAAACACAATTGAGTATTTTCTTTCCTCTGACACCTCCAGCTGAGACTCAGTGTAGAGCTGGCTTAAAGAAGAAAAAAACCCCAAATGGACTGTGACATGTCAAAGAGATTATGAACTCTGAAATGCTGTAATGCAGTGTCAAACACTGCTCTGTCACCTTTGACAAATTCTGGATTTTCCCAGTTTACTTGGAAAGGAAGCACGGGTACAAAGAACCCTGATTTTTCCCATTTCTGCAATTCCCATGGCATTCAAAACTCTATCACTGCTAACCACAAGAAAAAGAGCATCTAGAAATCACTGAAACCACAGTGGTGTAAATGAGAACTGTATGAGCCACTGAACACCAGTGCAAAAAAACAGCGAAGTTGTTTATGAAAATTCTATCCAAGACCCTTACTTCACTTCTCAGTGAAGTAAGGAGGGGGGGCAGCAAAACCGCAACCATGGACTTCCGGAGGGCGGACTTTGGCCTGTTCAGGACGCTGGTTGAGAGAGTCCCCTGGGAGACAGTCCTGAAGGGCAAAGGGGTCCAGGAAGGCTGGACGTTCTTCAAAAAGGAAGTCTTAAAGGTGCAGGAGCAGGCTGTCCCTGTACGCCGTAAGAAGAATGGGCGGGGAAGAC